AGTTTATTCAGAAAAGTTAACCAAGTAAATGATACTGACTGTAAGCCTCAAGATTGCAACAAAACACAAATGTAACCACAAGTGTTGGAGCCAGAAGTTATAAATAAACTGTGTTACTTTGTTATACACAAGAGTGTTTCATTGCCTGTGATATAATGTACAAAGGTTTAACAGCATACAGAAAGTACCAGCCAATATAAAAGAAGAAACTGAATCAGTATAAGGCAGCAAAGAGGGGTTTTTTAAAGAGGAAATAATCTCTCTCCCTCACCTCAGAGGACTAACCTAATCTCTCTAGGGAAGGCACTCCAGAGCCAGGGTGCCACCTCCAGAAGACCCTCTCTCTTGTCCCCACCAACTGTATGTGGGGCAGTGGTGGGACCGAGAGGAGTGCCTCCCCAGCAGATCTCAAAGCCTGTGCCGGTTCATAGAAGGAGATGTCTCGAAGATAGGTTGGACCCAAAGCGTATAGGGCTTTATAGGTAATAACCTGCATTTTGAACTGACAATTTCCCAATGCCAGTGTGCTAAAGAGTGGTATATCAGAATCCGTTGAGTGCAATTGCTTCTTCCTGGAAACTCCAGGGACTGGCAACTGAATGCTGGTGGACCAGCACCAGTCTATGATCTACTTTTTGAGTAGCACTGATATGCATACTCCATCTCTGATCAATCCTGTAGCAGCACCCAAGTACATTTCTTAACCCCTATGTTCATAGTGCTATTCTTTTATACCCTAATCCAGGCATGGGCAAACTTCAGCCCTCCAGGTGTTTTGGACTCCAACTCCCACAATTCCTAACAGATGGTAGGCTGTTAGGAATTGTGGGTGTTGAAGTCCAAAACACCTGGAGGGCTGAAGTTTGCCCATGTTTGTCCTAACTACTATGCAATAATAATGTTTAAGTTAGCTCTTCAGCCCAAATCTTCTTGTGGCTTTTTGCTGGTGAAAATGCCATGCCATAACAGGTTGCACAGCTTTATGATCTCTTACTTCAGTGTAGCTACATTTGCACAGCTCTGTGGTACAGAATAGATGGATAGGGCCTTGGCCATAATCTAGAAAAGACCCCAGAAGCTTAGTAGAAAAAAATGAGGTCATTTGACCATGCAGCAAAAATTTTAAGTCCCCATGCGAGTCCCTCTGAAAAAAAGTTTAAAGGGGGATTTTTTGGGAAATGTTGGCCCACATGTCTTTAGAGACAACTTTAGTTAGCAATTCTTCAGAAAGGATCAAAAGGGAAGCAAAAGAATGCATCATACAGATACATCTATGCTTCCTCTCCTTCCAAAAAGTAAAACAAAACACATTCAAGGGTGTTTAGGAAGTGGATAGTATGCCCCTTGTCAAAGTAATCAACCACATCTGGATAGCTCTTGATATGACTAAAGGAAAAAGACAATTAATTAATTGCTTAATTGAATTAATTAAAGTAGCATCCTTTGTTTTCAGTGGGAGTTCATCTGCTAAAAATCAGAACGGATATATGATGGCACTTGGTCCCAAGAGGAGGAAGGTCTTGGAATGCAAAAAAAGAAATCACCAAAAGAGAAATGTCATTGAAATATGGGCTGATATGAGCAACAAAATGTTTCCCAACTGGCAGGAATGAATTAAGTAGTCTTTGGTGGGGTGGGGATTGGGGCAGAGGCAGCATGTTCCTTAAATCTCCTTTTATACCAAAAATGTTTAGCATGAAATATCTTGTTCAGCCCCAGGGCAGTCTCGCCACAAGCCAAGATATAGCATGCATAGTTTATGCTTCCTTTTAATGACACAATGAAAAGAAGCCTAGGCAACGAAAGATACAACTGCTGGAAAGCTAGAATCTGAGAGAACAGGGGCTCACTCACATCACAGAATTATAGTGCTATTATTCTACATTGACTGCCATGGTTATAACCTGTGGAAATCTGGAAATGGCAGTTTAGGGAAGGAGTATTTAAAACTCTCAGCCAGGGCTTCACAAAACTACAAACACCAAGATTCTGTAAGATGGAACCAAGGCAGTTAAAGTGGAATTATAGCATTGTAATTGTGTAGTGTAAATGGGCCCTGGTTTACTGCGATTCAGGGTTACAGAATTGAACCTGCTACGGTACATTTTGAACCACTTGATTTTCTGTTGGCCACCTGTTAGCATTACCAATAATGTTAATAATAAAAACACATTGCAGTGTATCTTCATGAAATTTCAAATGTATTGTGCTTAGACTGCTCAGGGATAGGTTTGAATCAGTTTAGGTCCTAAAATCTGCTGGGGAGGCCCACCTTACAGTCCCACCTCCGTTACAAGTGTGGTTGGTGAGGACGAGGGACAGGGCCTTCTCAATAGTGGCCCCCTGGCTTTGGAAAGCCCTCCCCAGTGAGATTACACAGGCACAATGCTAGACCATTTTACGGAAGGAACTGCAAACCTGACTATTCAAACAGGCATTTGAAAATGGGTAATTTTAATGTCATCCAGCAGTTGGAGATATGAGATAAAATTGGATCTTACTGTTCCTTTTCACTTGAACAGTGGCTGGGATTTTTAATGAATGATGTTTTATGTAATTTTAAAATGCTGCTTTATTTTATATTGTTTGTCTCGTTATTAACTGTTGATTTAATTTAAATTGGATATATTTATGCATGTTGTTGTCGAGATTATTTGTATAATTATATTGTTGTGAGCTGCTCTGAGTCCCCTTGAGGAGATGAGGCAGGATACAAACAAAGTTTATTATTATTATTATTATTATTATTATTATTATTATTATTGAAACACAACAAGATGAGTCCACAGCAAACAAGATCCCTCTGCTGGTGTTGTATTGAATAACGCATCGAACACTTCCCAAGTGTCTAGGACTGTGATGTATCAGTAAACAATGTGTGCAGATCCCAGTAGGGTGGCCTTTGGCAGCTGGCAGATGGTAATCTTATCAGTGCCGATTGTGTTTAAGTGCAGACCAAGGTCTTTAGGCACTGCACCCAGTGTGTCGATCACCACTGGGACCACCTTTACTGGTTTGTGCCAGATCTTTGCGGTTCGATGGTGGACTGTCTTCCTGGCTTCCCTCCTTAGTATTGGGTTTTCTGCACAAGAAGCAGTATTTTCTTGTGAATTTTATTCAGACTAAGCCTGAAACTGTAAATAGTCTTTGAAAACTCAGTTCGGAGCCCCTCTCTCCAGCAACAATATAGTAATATAAAATACTAATATTGTGCTGTGCTAATAATATGATATATTGTATTAATTGTATTAATATATTGTATTAATACCACTGGAAGTCAAGTTTGATATAAATTCTGGAATGCATCTAATAAAGAGAACATCTGGAATGCATCTAATAAAGTAGTATGAAATCGAAGAAATTTCATGCTATTTTTTTTAGACTTAATTAGGAATGAAATTCCTTTTTAATTTTTGTTCTCAGAGTTAGCAATCAATAATTTCACTGTGAGAAAGCGTTTGAAAACAGCTTAGTTTTCAAAGACATTTGAAATAAATACATACATAAATAAATAATATATTTATTTATTGGTCTGAGGACTAAGATTTATTGGAAGTTCCCAGTTTTAAAACCTTGCGTCTAACAGCAACTAGATGCAGAGCCTTTACAGTAGTGGCACTATCGCTCTGGAACACTCTGCCACCAGAAGTTCGTGCCTTGCGGGACTTATCAGCCTTCTGCAGGGCTTGTAAGACATATTTGTTTCAACAGGCTTTTGACCTTTGATCTGTTGTTTTAATTTGTGTTAGATTCCAGTTTGTTTTGTAAGCCGCTCCGAGCCCTAGGGGAGTGGCGGCATATAAGTTTGAATAATAAATAAATAAAATAAAATAAAAATATAGGTTATATTACATGTAATATTACTAATAATATTGCTGTACAGTGGTATAGTACAATATAGGAATATATACTACTACTAGTACTACTACTACTACTACTACTACTACTAATAACACTTTATTTGTACCCCGCTACCATCTCCCCAAGGGACTCGGTGCGGCTTACATGAGGCCGAGCCCAAACACAACAATACAAGCAATAATAACAGCAATGCAAGCAATTAAAACACATAGACAATAAGATAAACAACATTATTAATAAACAACACACAATTAAAAACAGTGGGAAGGCTAAATGTTAAGTTAAAATTGGAAATAATGCTGGGACATGAACGGAAGGTGATACTGGTATTTGTGGAAGGGCATACGAGCAGACTTTAAGAAATGTAAAGTGCTTTGGAAGACAAAGTACTATGGGGTCATTATTCAGGGAAGGCACACTAATATAATACTAATATTGTGCTATGCTAATAATATAATATGTTGTATGTACATATAACTTGTAAGCTGTTCTGAGTCCACTTCGGGGTGAGAAGAGCAGGATATAAATGTCATAAATAATCAAACAAATAAATATAACTCCCCCCAAAAAAAGTATGAGAAAATTTTGTGCAGAAGACATTACAAGCTGCAAAGATTCTGATCAGTTCAGCATTCCTCTGACGCTCAAGAAACATGTTTTCCTATGAATTAATTTAAAAAAATATATTTATTCTTAAAGGTGCAGCTAGGTTCCTTCCTCTCCACCCGTTCCTTTTTGCACTGTTACAAGTTGGCGGTGGGACAGTAAAATGCCTTGGTGAAACGATTCATTTCCCCCCCTGTTGCTTTTAACATTTGTTGAAAAGTCATAATGCTAACCCCCTGTGCCAATTCACATCTGCTGCCACAAAATGCTAAGAGTAGTTTTTCAGCCGTCCTAACAAGATCACCGCTGGGCCGTCCATTTGGCAAGGTTAACTGACATTGCACCATCAGCTCAGTAAACCTCCTTTCAAAGCACCAAAGCTGTTGTGCACTAAGAGCTTGTAAGCAGCACCTTCTCCAAAGCGGGCTATTTCTTTTCTTTCTCCTTCTCTCTCTCTTTCCCCCTGCCCCAACACCCACCTTTCTCCTAGCTCCAAAAAAATGATTATCACAAAAGAAAGTAAATGTACTCACCCCAGGTAAAGTTTTAATATTGTGCAGTGCATTCTGTGCCTCAAGTGCAGCTTTTCTTGTATAAAATGTTACGAAACAACAACCTATAGAGAGAAATTGAAAAGCTTTCAGAAATTACCGAGAAGGGTTGGCTCAGCTGTAAAAGAAAACAAAAGACCGTTGCAGGGTAGGAGGTGGGGAGGAGATGATTGAGGAACATTATTATAAGCAGGCTGAACATGTGAATTATAATGAGCGGCAGGAATAAAAGGCAAGCTTTTATTGTTTAAAAGGGAGTTGAGGGGAAAGGGAGAGATTAACACCCCCCAGACACACAAACACACATTGTATCCAGTAGCACACCTACAGCTTCCGCAAACTGTTACTGCTTGGAAATTAAGTTAACCAAAAGTTCAATTGGCACCACAGCGTAAACAGTGGGGGATCTCTATTTCACAAGGTGCTATTGTGCAAAGTTAGCCGTGGAGTGATGCAGCTGAAACCTGCCAAAATAAGCCACTTAAGAAAAAAATAAATAAATCTGGTTTATGACTCATGAGCTGTAAAGGAACATTCAAGGCATCCAACAGCACATAGACATGGTGGAAGTGGGTGCAGGTTCTAGGCCAATATTTTCCTTCTATGAGGTGGAAAATGGGAACCTCATCATCATCACCATCATCAAAGGACCTCATCACATTGAGGTCCAAAAAGCAGGCTATAGGAGGGGGATTCACCAGGCAGAGTGTTGAATCCAGAGGGCAGCAAGGGAAACCATCACTCTGCATTACTGCTTTCCCCATTCCACAGAGGAAGGTGTCGCCACCCTGGCTTACCTCCATACCGACCCTGCTTTTGTCAATGTCCTAGGATGCTGGGAGTCCTACCAGAAGAAGCTGTGCTTCATCTGATGGGATCTAGCAGGCTCTGTCTTCCCAGCATCCTGGAAGCATCCTAGTATGCTGAAAAAGTCAAATGTGATGAGATCCCTAGCGAAAACAAAAGCAACTTCCAAGGTATGTGGAGGGGCACACTGGCCTACTCCTAGGTCCCAGGAAACTTGTACCCCTCCATTTTCATACTACTTCCAACTTGTTAAGTTTCAATATCAGCTCCAAACTTTTGATAAAGAACATGACCCTGCTTTTGTCAATGTCAATGTCCTAGGATGCTGGGTGTCCTACCAGAAGAAGCTGTGTGTCACCTGATGTGATCTGGCAGGCTCCGTCTTCCCAGCATCCTGGAAGCATCCTAGAATGCTGAAAAAGGCAAATGTGATGAGGTCCCGAGAGCAACTTTCAAGGTATGTGGAGGGGCACACTGGCCAACTCGCAAATTCCACGAAACTTGTACCCCTCCATTTTCATACTACTTCCAACTTGTTAAGTTTCAATACCAGCTCCAAACTTTTGATAAAGAATATGACTGACAATATTGCCCCATTCTCAGGCTCTTAAACCCTTCAATCTGTATTAGCCATTGTTCAAAAATCTAGATGCTCACAACCTCTAAGGATGCCTGCCATAGATGCAGGAAAAACATGCTTCTAGAACAGTGGTTCTCAACCTGGGGTCCCCTGATGTTTTTGGCCTACAACTCCAAGAAATCCCAGTCAGTTTACCAGCTGTTAGGATTTCTGGGTGTTGAAGGCCAAAAACATCTGGGGACCCCAGGTTGAGAACCACTGTTCTAGGACATGGCCATACAGCCCAAAAAACCTACAACAACCCAATCTGGATGCTATTGGAGAGCCCTGTTCTAAAAGAAAGGCCTGGGAATGTTCTAAGACAACTCAGGATAGGTGTTGAGTAAAATGCTCTTAGGGGAGGGACTATATTGGCCATTTCGGTGGCGGAATCAGTTGAGAATCTTTAAGAGGACTGCAAACACAGCACTGTAGATAGGTCATGCTTTGCTCAACATTGCTATAATACTTGTAGAATAAGCTATGAATTCCTGGAAACCAAGGTGAGCATCTGTGAAAGCCATTTTTGATACTTACACAGGACTTCTGGAGAATACACTCTTATCAAATCCACTGCCCTCTAGCCACCTCATCACATTGAGAGGGAAAAGCATGGGTGACCACCCCTTTAAGGGAGAGAATTATCCTTTAAGGGCAGGAATTGCCTCATTTGGAGTTCTGCCTCCCTATCAGACTCACACGTGGAAACTTAAGAGCTGGCAATACATTCATCACAAGGTCAGTATTGCTTTTTTCAATCAGGAGAAGCAACAGTATCCAAAAACCAAGAGATCCCTTGAACTGCCCAAAACCCCTTATATTAAAGGTGACTGACACCAGTTAAAACCGGTTCTTTCCATGGGATTCTATGATTCTGCCCCAAATTGCTCTAGAATGCAAGATACAATGTTCCACCTTAAAACCATTGCTTTCCATGACATCTTATTTTTCCGCATGAAATCCCATAGAGTACAAGAGACAGTGCTCCAGGTTAAAGCCATTGCTTTCAATGGCACCCAATTGTTCTGCATCAAATCCCGTAGAGTGCAAGAGACAGTGTTCCAGGTTAAAGTCATTGCTTTCCATGGGATCCTATTGTTCTGCACCAAACTCCATAGGGTACAAGAGACAGTGATCCAGGTTAAAACCATTTCTTTCCATGGAATCCTATGGTTCTGCATCAAAGCCCATAGGATACAACAGACTGCTGATGGGCAATGAAACAGGATGGGAAACTCTTGATGGTTCCCATCCCACTTGTTAAGTTGTAAAGATGGGAGTAAAGTGTGATAAGAGGTAGGAGCTCTGAAGATGACTGCTGGCCCTTGTTCAGAGTTCCCTTCTTTCAGGACATTTCTGCCTCTTTTCAACTCTGGAACATATGTTGAGCTCACTGCCTCTCCATACTTGAAAAGAGTCTGAAGCATCCTAAGAAGGGGAAAATTCTCAATGTGATGAGGTTGATTGTCCTCCTTTCGGGACAATTCTGCCTCTTTTTAACCACGGAGGGCTATGCATGACTGCCGGAAGTAGTTTAACTCATGTGTTGAGCTCATGTGCCTCTCCATGCTTGAAAAGAGGCTGAAGTGTCCTATGATTGGGAAATTGCTCAATATGATGAAGTGGTAGATATGCTGGACTCTTTATGGGTTAGGAAGAGTTCAATGCACCTCCCTCCCACGATAGCTTGCAAACTTTCCACTCCAGGTCATCTTTACCACAACTTTAACATTAGGACAAAACTCAGGGTTTAGAGCCAGTTTTGGGAAAATGCAGTTCTACCTCAATTGGACAGGTAAACTTGCTTTGTCCCACCTCAATTGGACAGGTAACATTGCTTTGTCCCAGCCTACCCGCTGGCCTTTACACACAACTGCCTGTGCAGCCATGAGGCTCTGGAGCATAATTATCCACAAAAGCTTTGGCATAACAATAGTGGCTGCCTGTCTCTTTCTAATGCAAACAGCTACAACCATGTTTTTGCTGCTGTAATATACAGCGAAGCATTATGCATATTACAAATGAGCAATATGCCAATATATCCATGTGCTTTGCTAAACAATTGTCAGGAAAAAAAGGCCTTTAACTAATGAGTGCAAACAGATGCATCCTTAAATTTTCACAGTTGACAAGAGACCATTGGACAATTGTTTTACCCCTTTAAGAATCATTATCAGTATCTATAAAGCGTCATTAAATCAGTCAGGGGTGGCACCTCCTGAATGGAGATTTGCTTTCAGCTCTTTTTAAACAAACTCTTCCAGTATACTCACACTTTCTCTGATATTAATTTTTGTGATTTTAAATTAAGGGTGAATTTATATAGGAGAGTAGACCTGAACTCATCTACCCATTTCAGGGTGAGTGAATCCATTCTAGTTTGTAGTCTTTGGGGCCAAGGTTGAGTACATTGGATAGAATCCATGTTCTGGATGCAACCCAGAGCAGATCCACTGCTCCAATGCAACTGAAGCCACCAACTGCTTCTACCTGAGGTGTTTCCCTAAAGACAGATCCTTTGAAGGGAGTTGATGTTGCTTTTCAAGGTTCAGAGAATGCCCCATTTGACAGGGAGATTCCTAATTAATCCTCTTATTCCCTATCTTAGAAAACACCCCAGGATTTATCTCCTACTCTCTTTCTCCCTTTGTTTTCAGCTATCCCATTGGTTCCCAACCTGTGGTCTGTTGACCACCAATGGTTTACAAGTACTAAAATATGGTTTGCAGCCTCACCATTACTACACCATTGCAACAAGAGCGACTGATCTTGCAAAACCCTTTCATAGCGCCGAGGCTTATTAAGTATGGTTTTCTGTGGGCGAGCAGATGGTGCCTACTGGATGGCATTAGTTCTGTATCAGAAACTAGAGCTGCTGTTGTCCATCCAATGGAATTTTCTGAATCAGCACCCCAAATAACCAAACCAAGTCTAAAGCTGCCAAAAAAACTGATTAGTAACCCTTTTGATACTAACGTGGGAGAGTGCTCCCTGGTCAAGTGGTCCCTGGTCAAAGAAAGGTTGGGAACCACTGCCTTATTCCAATTGTTGAAGATTGAGTTCAATCTGAAAAACTATTAACTCAGCAGAGAGAAGAGGACAAGCTGAAATTTGTCCTTCCCAGTAGCCTCATGAAAAGCAAACAGATGCAGTCTATCCTATGTTGTGCATTCTTTCCCATTTTATGAATTGCCCACAATCTGATGTTGCTTGGTCACAACCATCATGGATTTTACCAATGAAACACTGGAAGGCATGTTAGCATTGTGTTATTTTGGTACTGTAATGGGGTACCGCCTGTGAAATGCACTTTGAGTATTCCTGGGCTACCTGATCCCATTGCAACTGGAGACACCAGAAACTGAATGGAAACATTCTGAATGCAAAGCTTAGGTTTACCCCTGAGCTGTTATCCCTCCCACTACAGATGGACTCATCAAAAAGATTGGTGGTTCCTCACTATTGAAAAGATGTTCTGAGTCAAGCCTTGAATTTTCTTCTATGAGATATATGGAACGGTCTTGTGTTATGAGCCACTAGCCAATTGATAGGCTGAAAATGAGAGGTTTTGAAACCAGAAAGCAAAACTCTTAATTCTGGGAGAGTGGAAAACCACATATCCCCAGTCAATTTCATTCC